AGTAGCTGTCACCATGGAAGAACTAGGCTCATTATCTGATTTGTTTCTGCCATCTCTGCTCTCAAAGAGTCCATTAGCAACAGGGACATGCAGTTTTTAAATTACTGAATTACTCAGACTTCCATTAAAACAGTAGATCTGATCTACAAAGTAAAATAGAAGAGCTTTTTTACATTTTGTTCCACTATTCTGTCTAGTTTTTCCATTTATTCCACTTAAAGAGCACACATTTCATGTTGTTTTTCTCAACCTTCTAGGTCCTCTTGTCTGTCAATATACTTAAACAACAGCCAGGCACATGGTGGGCCTTAAATAAATGTGTGTGGGTTAACAAATAAATTAACAGAACAATAGATGAGATACATCACAAGGTCTCTCAGTCTGATATAGATGCAGTATCCCTTTGAATGGGTACCATCATGTTTGATAGTCTCATAACAGTTTCTTTATTTTGGAGCTAGCTTGAAACTTTATAAATGCTCAGTTTGAAAAGAACAAAGCTCAGAAAGTGATACAATTAGTTTGTCTAGTCTTTCAGTGTCCAAACTAAAAAAACAAAAAATTACAATATTAATGATTGCTTTTCTTTTCTCCTTCACTGGAGGGCATCTTTGGGTCAGGGAACTCAACTTTTTCTTGATGACATAATACAAAATTCTCCAAACCTATCAGTTCATGCCAGTGTTGGTGGTGATACTGAGGTCTGACCATAGAAAAAAGAAGTCAAAAATAAAAACAACCAAGCATTTTAAGAACCACAGATCATACTAGATCTACTGAAACTGTCATGGGAATTTGTAAATTCCAGAGGTTATAACAGTCATGTATGTTGTGGCTATTAATCATCAATTGGCTTTGACAATGCTAATTTGGTACAACTATATTTAGCACTTTGTTCTACACTTATTGATCATAGACTCTGTCTTGGACCTTTAGACTGGGTAAAATCTCACTACTGAGAAGATACTTGGAACCCTGAGTTCCTTTCACCTAATATTGTATCAACATTTATTAATTATCTACATTATAATTAAATGCAGGGCAAAAGTGAACGTTCACAGTAAGTTGAATTAATATGCTGTAATTATTAGGGTCTTACTAATTTTAAGCTACATAATGGGGGAAAACACTTTAAGATCTTACATTTATACTTGCCATGAGAAACATCCGGTAACATTTTAGTAATAAAAATAGTACAGAATGAAACAAAATCTCTGCCTTTTGTCATACCAGCCCTCCCTTCCCACACTAGTACCTTCTTTTTTAAAAATTGTCTCTGGTTTTCATAGTCCATAAAACCGTAGAAGGTACCAGATGTTTGGAGGAGGTTGTCCCACACATCCTCAATTTTAAAATAGATGCAAGATTTATTATCGTCATATAAATGCAACTTCAGCTTTGACTTTTGTGCTCACGAACTAGGTGCAATCTGCAACATGGCCTCTTGTCAAACAGAACAGTTCTTATCTGTAACATATCTGTATCAAGGGCCAAAGTAACCACAGGATGCTACTAAAATGTGCTCTGCACACAAGCTGCTTCCCTCCAGGAAAAATTTTAAATTAATGTAAACATTTTGTTTTCCAAGAAAAGCATTTTGATTTGGACTCACCCTCACAGATATTTGATGTGCATTCATAGAAATACCTGAGGGATGTGGCTAACTAAACTGTCTCAAATTAGGATTTTTTTCCCTCCAATTTCATAGTTTTCAATATTGAGAACAGATTAAAACTCCTCTTATACGCCTTCAGGTTCTTCCTAGCTCAGGATCTTCATAGTGTATTGGTTCATGCGACTTATTTTGTAAGTGGTAGCTGTTCAAGGAAATCTCACAGGTGACTAGGAAACAGACCTGAAGCTCTCTAAGTACCTTCCAGTGGGTCCAGCAGCATCTTCTCCTAAGTGGATAGCAACTTAAAAAATGCTTTTTATATAAGGCATAGCATTCTTCCTTTTACCTACACTAGGGAATTGGTAAAAATCTGTGCATGGTGTAGAGCTAGAGAAGGACTATGAAATCTATCCTGAACTTGTTTCTAAGATTAAAAACAAATGATACGATTACTCTGACCCTGGAGTTTCGGAAGAGTATTCAAAACCCCCGAGATTTTAATTAAACACTTAAAACATTTCACCTTCTACATGAACTACTTTTCTTTATGGATGATTCAGATACCAACCGAATTCGAAGTAGCTACTCATCTCTTTCAGTTGATTCCTGGTATTGTAAAGATCATGGCAATGTGCTACCACTTTTGACTCTACCAACACGTGCTACTGCTAACAGTGTAGATGAAAACATAACAATTAAAGAAAAATCCATAAGAGACATAACCTCCCATAGTAATTCCTAGACAGGGATGGCAATATAATTGGTAGCAACAGGAGTGAAGGGTTTGATAAAATGATATTGGGAATCAGGGAGTGATGAATTGTCATTGCTAACCAGAGGGTGATATTGACTGTGATTTGTGTGTGTGTGTGTGTGTGTGTGTGTGTGTGAATATCAATTTTCACAGTAGTGTTTTTGTTCAAGAACATTGTAATGTTGTCATCTTGGATGTGTCTCCATGGGAAATGGAGTTGGCTAATTTATATAATAAATGTGAGAACTAACACTTCACACCCAGACAAGTATTGCCAGAACACATACTTTGCTCTGCAAATCTAAAATGGTAGCCAAGTCTCAATACTATAGTTAAACCAGGAGAAAGAACACCAGGAGAATGTTCTCAAGGACTACTAAGGCTAATTTAAAAACAGAGGAAAATATTTGAAATCCATTCAGATAAGCCTATCAGTTCCACTTTTCATTACAGTACAACCAACACAAGAGGATTTCATATTTCCATTTTTAAATCGAATTATTTCTCAGACATTCAATTTTGTATCAGATTACATCTAGAAATTCAGCTAGCTCAAACTGGAGGGGTTTGTTTTGTTTTAAAAGAGCCAATAAAGACAAGGAGAAAAAGCCAAGCAAGAAGCCATTATGACTCTAATAAATGAAAAAGTCCACATCCTCAGTCTTAATTGTGTTCTCTTCTATCTAACAGAATTGCAAAGCCATTTCATCAATAAACAGCAGCCTAACCAAAGACCAGGTTAGGAAGTGGGCAATTTCAGCCACAAAGTACAAATGACCTAGATGACTCTAATGGATACTATAAGGTTAAATCTGGTTTAAAAATATGTAAATCTTAATGTTCAAAGGACATATGTGAAAATGGAACCAGATAAATTGAGACAATGAGTGAATTGAGAGTGTTGAGGGAGAAGGCAGGCCACTGATCAAGATGCATTGACATTCAAAACCCTTTGTACAATCTCTTCAATAAAAAGCCAAAAATTAAATCCAGTTCCTTGCTCAACAAAATAAGAAAAGAACAAAAATATGCAAATTGCTTTAGATTATTTTAGTAAGATTACCTTTTTATTACCATTATCTGAGAACCTTGTCCTTGCCAAAATTAGCTTAAATCTTATATCCTAGAAGATCAAGCTTATTTTTCCTTTTTCTTCCTATCTCCTTCAACATTTTGGCAAAGAAGAAAAATCTCAGTAAAGAATCATGTCACTTTTGATAGAAGTGTATCTTAGTAACAATTAGCCTTTTAAAAACTCTCTTATTTTTCCAATAAAGTAACCAAAGACTATGTAAACAGATTATATATAATTTTTGTTCTCCCCACCCCAATTGGAGGGAAAGAGAACATGTTCTTTTCTTTTTATGTTCTTCAATTTATTCTTATGGAAATGATTCCAAGATTTTTGTAAATGGTCTCCAGTTTAGTCAACCTGCTATAACAATATTTTCTCCTTTTTAAAAATTAAATTGCAAATTTAAATTTTATTAATTTTTTATTTTTAATAAGTTTTTTATTGTGAAAATACTGTACAGGGGGGTTACAGTTACATGAGCAAGGTAATGAGTACATTTTCTCTGGCCTTCTGAAGCAAAACACCAAGTTAGCCAATGGCTTCCATTGCCAAAGTCTGTAACTTTACCACACCTAACATATTAGGTTCAGCTTCTCTGTATTCTAACACACTCGCAGATCTTTTTCTGATCACACCCTAGTCTGCGCTGTTGGACTTGCATCCTGCACTCTATGGAGAGGTTTGCATAAATGATCAAGGCCTCCAGCACTGACAAATGCTGTTGCTATTTTCACCTCAGAGCCTGTCACTCTGTAATTGCAACAAATGCAATTGAAAGTACTTTTATTTGAAGGCTAGTTGACAGAGGGGAAGAAAACACATTTACTCTTTCAAGGCCTGTGTATTTTCCAGGGAGAAGCCTGCCTATAAAAGCCGTCCTTTTATCCTTGGATAGCTATATGGGAAATATCTTTGGGTAGCCAACCTCCAGAATGATTTTGTAACCCAAGAACAGAGTCGTGATGCACAGTCCTTTCCCTTGCTTTCTCCCAATGCCTTTTCTCCCACTTCAGAACACTCCAGGCTCTCTTATGTTTATGTGCTTGGAGCCTCCTTTTTCCCCGAAAGAGATAGAAAATTTGCAAGTGTTAGTGAGAAGACTGAGTTATTTCGACCTTAGAAATCTAAGAAAGGAGTTGATACCCAAACTGTGATGCTGTTGAGGGAATATAAACAAATAAACAAACAAGAAGTATGGCAAATTGCAGGATGCTGTTTTCTTTCTTTCTCTTTGTTGTTTTGTTTGTGGTTTTTGTTTGCTTTGCAAGACTGTTTCCTAACTTGTCTCTGCTCAGACAGGCACCGGGCAATTTCAGTCCATTACTTACATCTTCATCAGAGATCTCTGCTAATCGAATCTAGACAGTTCGGCATCCTTACCAGGATGTTCTGTGCCCTATATTCAAGTCACTCTTATTTTGCAAGATAGAAAAGAAAAGAGGCGAATTTATATCTCGTTTGCTAAAACGGCGCTTCCAGTCTCTCCATAAACCATCCTCACGGGCTGCCGTGCTGGGTGAACACAGTCAACCAGCACGCCCCGCTGTGCTCCTTACCTATGAACAGGTTCCACTCGGTGTCCAGATCGGCCTGGTTGGCCAGGCAGCCCTTCATGACGTTGAGACAGTAGTTGTTGCAGGGTCTCACGGTGGGCAGGCCTCGACAGTAGGGACAGTAGAGCATCTTCATCAGAGCCCGGATGCACCCAGGGGTGGGACTGACCTGCGGATCATCCAGAAAGAAACAGAACCTCAGAAAAACACATGAAGGGGAGGAATAAAACATTAGCTCTCTCCCATGGGGACTTGGAGCATGGGTGGGAAGGAGGGAAGCAAAACAGATCTGATAAACTTGGAAACAATGAGAACAGGATTAAATGTATTAGCTGAATTTGAATCCTTTACATTTTTTAAAAAATTTTTTACATGTATGTATTTTGCCAGGACTAGAGATTCAATTCAGGACTTGAAAGATGTCCTCTAGCTTTTTTTATTTTTGGCTCAAGGTTGGTGCTCTACCACTTGAACCACAGGCCCATTTTCAGCTTCTTTGTGGTTGATTGTAAATAAAGTATCTCATCTTCCAAGCTGGCTTTGAACCAGGTTCCTCAAATCTCAGCCTCCTGAGTAGCTAGAATTGCAATTATAAGCCACTGGCCCCCAGCTCTCAGTCTTTCTTAGTACTTGATCTGGAAGTGAGTCACTTCCTATTAAATGTGCTCAGCAAGGTAGTAATAATAATTTCTTTTGAAATGTCCCTGTCAACATTTTGATATCTATGCCATTGTAATTCCACCCCGGAAACAGAGACTCTTATTTCATTGAATAGAACATGAAGTGAAATAACGCATGCGAAAGCAATTTGCAAAGTTAAAAGCCCCATAAAAATGTAGGTATTATTAAAGTTTAATGCGACACCTTTAGAAAAGTTTCCAACTGGTTACTTGACCCCATTTCTAAAGGAGGTTGGCAGAAATCCTGCCTTTGTACGTAACTTGTTTGAAAGGATCAATATCATCTTGTCTGGGATTTCTGAGATCCAGACTTGCTCCGAAGCTGTAGAATAAATAAACCACCATCTTCAGTACAGTCCTGAAAATTCATGTGTAAGGAGGCACTATTATAGTAATTCTGAAAACTTAGTAATTTGTTAACAATGAACATTCTTTGCTATGAATAAGAAATGAGGTGATTCTAATCAATTCTTAAACAAAAAGTGCTTTTCTGATTTATTAAAAATTTGAATTTGACTTTGAAAGTAAGTATATTTAAAATGGTATAATCAAAAACAGACAACAATGCAGAAAGTTCTTTTTCACATCTAGATGTAAAAATGTTGTCATAGTTATTTCATTAATTTTATATAATTTTCAGGATTTAGCCCAGTAACTAAATAAATGTCAATTTTGTGCTTCCAAATTTTAAGCAAGCCCCAACTTAATTTTACTTGTACCTTTTGTCTTATCAGACAGACCTTGATCCTGAGGTGACATCCTACAGACAGGAACATTCAGATGCTGATAAAACACGAATGGAATATGGAGATACGAAGACATGGAGTTTTGTTTGTTCATTTGTTTTTGGCAGAACAGGAGCTTGAATTTAGAGCCTCCTATTTGTGATACAAGAACTCTACCACTTGACCCATTCCCCCAACCCCTTTCTTGCTTTAGTCACTTTTCAAATAGGATCTGGTATAGTTTTCCTCCCAGGCTGATTCAGATGGTCTTCCTTCTACCAGCACCTCATGGGATTATAGGTGTTCTCTACTTAGCATGCTGGCACTTCCAAATACTATAGACAGTCCCTCACATTCTATCTTTCACCTTGAAACCAAACTTGATTTCATGTAAGACTTTGCTTTCTGTAACACTTGCCTATAATTTTACACAGTGTACAAACAATATTCCTAGTAAATTACTTCAGAAAATTACACCATGTATTATTTAGGTTCTGAAATTTCTACTTATCCTTTGAAATGTTTTTGCATTTTCTTCCCAAAATTTATGAGAATTTTCAATCACACAGAAATGTTGAACACTTTATAGTAAACAGCAGTATTTCCCACTTCTAGATTACACAATTTACATTTTCCTATATTTACTTCTCCACAGTTTGTTCATTCATTAGTCCAAGCTACTTTTAGGTCAAAATAATACCCTTCTGATTTGTACTTTACCTAGTAATTTGTAGTTGGTCTAAGCCAAATAGAGTATTATCCACAATAGAAAGTTAGAGCATTTAAGTACTCTGAATAAAAGGCAAGCAAATGTAATTAGTATTCCTGCATAAAGGTGTTTAAAGAAGGTATAACACTTAATCTCCTACAACAAAATAAAAACAAGAAGAATATGGAAGAAAAGTGGAGGTTTTCTGGTGACTTTATTTTGAGGACATATTAATGACATCATACCATCTTCTTTAGATTGGTATTTCATTGAGAAAACCAATTTTTAGATGCAAGTGAGCAGAATTGCTTACAAATTTTCTTACAACCCACATCTGTGCCACACCTAGCTTTGCAATTTCTTTCCTAATTCAGATGCTTTTCTCCAAGGACTCACCCTAGTTTCACTCAAGCTAGCTAAATGATTTCATACTTTGATAGTGGACTATTTTATTTTACTTTACTTTGTTTGTCACTGGTATTGTATGATGCTTTGTTTCTCATCCTATTAAAAGTCAGGACTGCAGATCTGAGATCTCTTGGACAGTCTGAAGGGTCTTGTTTCTTGTGACCTTGATCACTTGGTACAATATGTACCTTATATAAGTAATTCTGATTATTACTTACCTACTTACTAAGTAACTAAGTCATTTTTGAATCAACCTTTCTTGTAGTGTATTTCCAGATCTCTTCACCACATTGCTATTCAAAGGATAAAAAGAGCAAAACGGTTTTAGACACCTTAGCATTTGATTGTTACTTTCTAATGTTGCTGTCAAAGGCTATTGATTGCATTAATTCCAAAGCTTTGCTTTTTTTTTTCTTTCCTTAATTGTGTTGGAACCAGTTCAATTTTCTCAATCTGACATTTAGGAAGAGCGGCCACCTCAAAGTAGCAACCAACAGAGAAAATTGAACAGCTTCAGTAATCTAAAAGAACAATGTTGTTCAAGCTAAGTGTAGGTCTCTTAGTACTTTTGGAAATGACATTCTTCTTGGTGCAGTAAAGGGTGTTTGAAAAAGATAATACATTATGAGTGACCAGAGTTGAAGCTTTTATGTTTAAACATCACAGCTGTTGAACTTTCACAACAGCATGTCTGAATTAAAATAAAAAAAAAAAACTTTTCGAACTGAAGAACTTTTTGTAAACAAGCTTCCACAAAGAAGGTTGTTTTAAAATGCCAGGTGTAAAATTAATTTAGACACAATAAGTGGAACAAATGGTAACATTATATATATACACCTTAACTCTGGTCCTTTCATGGTGAAATCTTGCACAGCTATAGAGTAATATCAAGATGGAGAAATTGACAATATTGCATTGCTTTAAACTATTTCAACTATTTCATTATTATTTCCATGCTTTTTAAGACTGTATTCATTTGTATATATCTATATGTGTCATATGGAGCTCAGTGCAATTTTATCCCATGCACATATTTAAATGATCATCATGGCTATTGCTATATAAAACTGTTCTACCAGATAAAAGAACTTTTTTGTTTAATCTCGACCTCTTGGTCACCTGGAAGTCATTGGCCTATTTTTCATCTGTATATTTTTGTCATTTCAAGAATTTTGCATAAATGGAATTATACAATATATATATATGTGTGTGTGTGTGTGTGTGTGTGTGTGTGTGTGTGTATATATATATATATATATATATATTTATCCTGATTTCTTTTTTGCCAGTCATGGGGCTTGAACTCAGGGCCTGAGCAATGTACCTGAGCAACTTTAGCTTAAGGATAGCGCTGGACCACTTGAGCCACAGTGCCACTTCTATCTTTTTCTGAGTAGTTTATTGGAGATAAGAGTCTTACTTTCCTGCCTGGGTTGGCTTTGAATCACAATCCTCAGATCTCAGCCTCTTGAGTATCTAGGTTTACAGGTGTGAGCCACTACTAGCCCTGGGTTTATTTAGATTATTTTATGTAGCAAAAGTTTATTCCTCTCCCTTTTTGAGTAGTATTGTATTATTTGAATGTGTAGAGTATGTTCAAATATTCACCTACTGAAAGATAACTAGGTACTTCCCAGTACTGGGCTATTATGAATAAAACTATAAGGTACATCCATATGCAGATTTTTACATGAGCATAAATTTTCATTTCTCTAGGATAAGTGTTAGCCCATGTTTGTTTGTTTTTTGTTTTTGTTTTTGTTTTTTTTTGGTCCGGTGGTGGGGCCTGAACTCTGGGCCTGGGCGCTGTCCCTTAGCTCTTCAGTTCAAAGCTAGTGCTCTACCACTTGAGCCACAGCGTCACTTCTTGCTTTTTTCTTTTTGTTTATGTGGTGCTGAGGAATCGAACCCAGGGCCTCATGCATGCAAGGCAAATGCTCTACCACTGAGCCACCTTCCCAGCCCCCATGTTTGGTTTTTATAAGTAATTTCCAAGCGAGTTCCAGAGTTTTATATCATTTCACAGTTCCAGCAGCAGTGTGTGAGATAGCCAGTGATTTCTTCATCCACGTCAACAACTGAATCATTACTAGTTTTAATGTTAGCAATTTAACCTCTATTATAAAAGCACAAAGTCTCTCCTATATTTTTAATGATTTTTTTGGGGGGGGTTCTTTTTAATCTTGATGGAAAGCAGGAGAAAACGAGGGAGGGGTAACACTTTGAAAAGAAATGTACTTATTACCTAACTGTAACGTCTCTGTACATCACCTCTGCAATAAAATAAAATTTTAAAATGTATTGTTTAAAGGGGTTTGAGTTCAACATGTTAATTTGTGAGTACAATGCACCTGCTAAATGTCACTCTGTCATCTGTCTCCACATCTCCCCCATGCCCACCCATCTACTCAATTTTCCTAGTTCAATTTTCATTGCATATTCTGAATGCCTTCTCTCATCCTTCCTGTCTTCATCTGTCTACCTCTTCTACTTGACTTACCTCCTCCCTGATGCCTCAAGCTATTTTTAATTTTGTTGTGAGTTTCTTCTATATAATATTCCACCAGCCTTCTAGAATGGGCTATGGTGAATGAAAGGTCCCAAAACATTATAGAATATCCTTAGCAAGGATAGCTTGCACACCCTT